CACATTACAATAAGGTGCATGTTAAGGTTAAAAACATTTTTGTATCTGAAGGAAGGCATGGCTTTCTGAGGGATGTTGGTAAATACTCAAACGTGTCACATTCTGATTGGCCAAACTTGGCCAGTAATCATAACAAGTAGTTCAATAAAACAAGAATTACTTCCTGATAAAATCAGTTTCCAGCTGACTCCCGATTCTGCCAAATCGGGAAAGAAGCCTCTTTTGAAACAAACTCCTTTAACCTCCAGTCAAAGCCTCTCTGCAACACTGCGGTTGATACCAGACAACCTGCTCTTCTAAGAGCCAAGCAAACAACCTTAGATGCAAACAAGCATTCCAGCGTCCTGCCTTCACCTGTAGGGATCTCAGACTGGACGCGTCCTATCGGAACTATCTACGGATTCCTGATATCAGAGTTCACTACACCAGCAGTGACCATCGAACCACAACCTCCACACCAAGGGTGCGTAGACTTGGCACGACTGATGCTGTTTTTAATAAACAACTCACTAGTTTACAACAAACAAAAAAAATTTTTTACAGCCAGATTTCACATTTTCTCTCAGATAAAAAGAACGGTTGCTACAACATCTAGCTTCCATCACAACACCTCACATCCACCACACCACATCTCATTATTCATATCTTGTCATGTACCATTAGTTTAGGAAAAATAATTAAATTCATTTTATAAACTACATACTGACTCTGTCTGAATTAATACAAAGTGTGTTTATGGTCCCTGAAGAAGCAAAGAACCCTAGAATCTTCTGATTAAACATTCAAAGATAAATCAGATTTATATTTCATATCAATCATCACATCGTATTGGTCATAATTAATATGTAAAAATTGCTACACAACAATCACCTTCCATTCAGAGGATGTTTCCACCTGTCTATCTCATTTTCCTGTGGCATTAAAGCTTTAAACTCATGTCTATAATCTTCTGGGTTTTATTCTTTCATGCTGAACTTCCAAACAGATGCCCTTCAAATATTCAAAACAGCTCCCCGGTCCTAATGAAGACAGAAGAATTTCCCTTGGGTATTGACAGCAGCGCTCCAATCTGACTGGAATTCCTACTTTCTTTGTATCTATGCAAATGTCTGTTTGGTTGGTAAAGATCTGAAGTCTGATTGTGTTACTTCCTGTTTCAATAGAATGAGATCAGGACAGAAAAACACACCCATTCAAACATTTCTTTATAATTGTGGAAAAGGTGATTTAGATTGAGATAGCCTAGGGCTGAAAGTCAAATACTTTAAACTACAAGGATGCATTAAATAAGCACTTGTATAGCACCTTTCAGAGTCAGAGGACTCCAAAGCGCTTTACTCTAAAGTGAATCATTCATCCATTCACACAAACACTCACACAATGATGATGATGATAAGATAAGATAAGATAAGATAAGATAAGATAAGATAAGATAAGATAAGATAAGAACAACTTTATTTATCCCGAGGGAAATTGTTGTGTCATGTACATGCTCAAAGCAGTAGGAGAGACAAAGAAACAGGTGAAACAGATATAAGATATACGATATATACAGTAAAAATAGTGTACAGTAGTACACAATAGGATAGTGCAAGAGAAATACTCAGATAACTGAACAAATAAAATACATGACTGTATCCTGGTGAATAAGTAACTAAGCTATCAGTGCAGGCGATTTTCGAAAATGATCAGAGTATTGTGCAATAGAATTAGGGTAGTAGCAGCATATGATGGAGGGATGCAAACATATTTCCAATAAGAACTCTTGGGTAATATTGCACGGTCTGGGATGGAACAGAATAGCCTAGGTAATAGTATTAGGTGAATCACCTACAGGGTGAGGAAGAGTTAAACAATCCTATTGCCACCGGTACGAAGGATTTCCTGTGGCGGTCAGTTCTGCATTTAGGGGCAATGAGTCTTTTGCTGCGTGTGCTTCGATGGTCAATCATGTGGGCGTGCATGGGGTGGGAGGGGTTGTCCAAGATAGAGAGAAGCTTTTTTAGCATTCTCCTCTCAGACACCTCCTCCAAGTTCTCAAGTCTGACACCCAGGACAGAACCAGCCTTCCTAATCAGCTTGTTCAGCCTGCTGGCATCATCTATGATGGGCTACAGTGTAGCCACAGCCACCCTGGGGTGCCCTGACAGAGTACATAAACAGGCGATGTGTGTTTCTTCTAATCAAACAGCAGATGACTGGTGCTGCCTTCCAGCAGTCATTGTTGCTATTGTAATGGGCAGCATAGGAATATATCTGAGGGAAAGAGGTAAATGAGCAGGAATCCAGGTGAGGATAAGACTTCTCTTAAAGTGTGGTTTATCTAGTAAACATCGACGTGATCTTCTAGCTTCTTGTCCTTTGTTTGGCGACTTGAGCGCCACTTCCGCATTCCCGCCAGGCTGCATTGTGGCGCGGTTTCTCCGTCCGTCTTTTAAGGTTGGTTTATCCTCATTCTTCAGTGGTTTCTCCTCCTGTTCCCTCCATAAGTGGTTTTTATAAACACAGTCGATCTAACTCTGCTAATTTACGTCCACTAACTCCAGGTGATTCTGTAGTTTCTGATTCCTCCACCTCACTCAGCATGGCTCTATTAAATACCCGTTAGGTTAACAATAAGCCCTTCCTGCTCAATGATCTAATTCTCTCTAAAAACCTGGATTTTCTGTTTCTGACTGAAGTTTGGCAGCAAACATCTGATTATTCTGGTCTGATTGAACTCTGCCCGAGTGGTTATTCTTTTCTTAGCCAGCCCCAGGGTTCTGGTAGTGGTGGAGGCCTAGCTGTTGTTTTCAGAGACCATCTTCCATGTAGCTCTACAACCTCTGGTTGCTTTGCTTCCTTTGAACTGCAGCTGATTAAAGTCGGGCGTAAGGACCCGTTCTACTGTGCTGTGGTCTATCATCCACCTGGTCCAAACAGTTCTTTCCTTCAGGAGTTAAGTGACTTTCTACCCTCCACTGTGAATTCAGTTCAATTCAATTCAAAAATACTTTATTAATTCCAGAGGGAAATTAGAGTTTCAGTACACACAATGCTGAGATCAGACATACATACATAGACACATGACAAGAATTGGTGAATGTGGTCATTCGCAACCCGAGTCGCGCTACCGTAATAGATCAAGAGGGTTTCTTTGAGGACAGAGTCAGGGGGAGGGAAAAAACGCACTTCAGAGTTAACCTCAACAGAGAGGGTAGCTTTGCTATGTAAAAAAACACCTCAGACAGATATGCACACAGACTTCAGACATTACACAACATAAGTGTCCACTAGGTGGGGAGGTAGGGTTGGGACTCTCATCACTTCAGTGCTCGCAGCCGCATGGGGCAGCGCTCATCACCTCTGTTTGGACAGGGGAGGGAGAAAATGGGTTAGAGGGCACAGTGAATCCTAAATACGGTTCCATGGCCTTCATCGGTCACAGTCCCGCCCAGGCTGGGATAGGGAGAAAGAGTTTCCATAGCCACGGCAGCATTCCACATTTCTTCTGAGGGGGGAGATATCACCTCAGCGTCACAGACTCCAAGGGCACCAGATTCAGATAAAAATTGTTTTGGGTAAAGACAGAGATAATTTCCTCTGTGCCTTAGTGTTCTGTTGGTCTTCAACCCCTCTAAATCCAATACTGGTGTAATTAATCCATCCCAGTTCGTGTTGATCCATCCACTCGCTCCTTGAATGTATCCACTTTTTGTGCCAGAGCCTGAATCTCAGCCAAAGCTCCAAGCTTACAACTCATCTCGACTATTATGAGTTTGTGCATTCACAGCACGATGCATTCCATCCCTGAGTTCCGGGATTGAGCCAATGTTCCTTGAAAGCTCGTTAATTTTCCGTTAAGTCAGGTAACCGCTCATGCCAAACAGCAGGAATCCCGACAACAAAACGATAAATATCCAAACATCTTCAGAATCCTCTACAGACAGTTGAGAGGCATATCAGGTTCCACTTTTCCCAGGAGCCCCTTCTCCCTTTCTCATCGTTGAAAAAAGGTTGCCAGTCGCGTTGAGAGACCAACTGACCAGATCCATTTTTAATAATTTCCAGCTTACAGAAAGAATCAGAAGCTGTCCAGACTGGTGATTGTTGGTGACTTTAGCATCCACATTGATGATCTCTCAGACAACTTTGCCATTGAATTTCTCCAGCCTCATGGACTCCTTCAGCTTTACCCAACATGTTTCTGGCCCCACACACACCAGGGGGCACACTCTGGACCTTGTTTTTACCCTGGGTCTAAATGTTGACAGTGTTAGTCCTGAGCACGTTTATATTTCAGATCACCATTGCATTTTCTTTAACTTGTCAGTTTCTGCATCCCCACCTCCTGCTCGCCGTATGGTTAGTTCTCATTTTCTTAATGAGAGCACAGCCAGCAATTTTTCTGCTGCTTATGATCCACCCTGTTCTGATAACGACCCAGATTCCTTAACTTCTCAGTTTAACGAGCACTGCCTCTCCATTCTGGACAACATCTGTCCTGTCAGAACCAGATCAGTTCCTGCAGTGAACCCTACTCCCTGGTTTAATGACAGCCTTCGCAGCCTGAAGTGCCAAAGCAGAAAAATTGAGTGCTTGTGGAAGAAAACCCATCTCCGCGTCCATCTGCTGCACCTAAAGTATCTTCTGAAATCCTTTAACTCTGCAGTCAGAGACGCGAGGGATCCCTATTTTTCCAACCTGGTGTCCCAGAGCAAAGGGAACCCCAAGGTGCTGTTTAACACCATCAGCAGCACTGTCTCTCCTGCCACTCCCACAGCCTCCATCCACTCTGTTGCAGACTGCGAGAACTTTCTGTCTTTCTTTGTGGACAAAGTCAATAAGGTTAGAGCTAGCATATCTCCTTCAGCCTTATCGCTGCCTCTCCCGACTCCAACCAGGCTCATCATCCTAGATAGCTTTGCTCCTGTTTCTTTGACTGAGTTAACCAAACTAGTTAACTCTATGAAGACCTCTGCATGCCCCCCCCCCCCCCCCCCCACACACACACACACACACACACACATTTTACCCTAATCTTTGTTTAAAAGTGCTTTTCAGTACATTGGTCCCAGCGTGCTCTCTATACTTAATGCTTCTTTGGTTTCTGGTCAGGTCCTTGCTTACTTTAAGAACGCTATAATCCACCCGCTTCTTAAAAAAACGAGTCTTGACCCCTCTCTTCATAGCAGCTTCAGACCCATCTCTAAACTTTTGTTAATCTCCAAGATATTGGAAAAGGTTGTGGTTAAACAACTCACAGCTGCTCTTGATGAACTTAACATCTATGATTGCTTACAGTTGGGTCATTCTACTGAAACAGCTCTTCTTAGGGTCTCTAATGACCTTCTGACTCACAGTGATGCAGGGGACTGTTCTGTTCTGGTCCAGCTGGATCTGACTGCGGCCTTTGACACTGTTGACCATCACCTGCTACTGGAGAGGCTGAGAGACTGGGTAGGCCTATCAGGATCTGCTCTGGAGTGGTTCTCCTCTTATCTTTCTGAGTGCTTCTTCTCTATGGCCGTCTCTAAGTTTAGGTCCTCCACCACCTCTCTTACCCATGGTGTCCCACAAGGTTCTGTGCTGGGACCTCTGCTCTTCCTCCTCTATCTGCTTCCTTTTCAGCACATCCTGAGCTCCTTCAAAGGTATCTCCTACCATCTTTATGCAGATGACATCCAACTGTACATCTCCCTGAAGCCCCATGAGATGTCTAAGCTGCAGCTGTTACACACCTGCTTAGACTCTATTAAAACCTGGATGGTGGGAACTTTCTACAGCTGAATGAAGATAATACCGAGATCCTCATCTGTGCCCCAGACAAGCTGGTTCCCAAAGTCAGAGACTCTCTTGGTCAGCTTGCTTCTCACACCAAGCCCCCTGTCAGGAATCTTGGTGTGACTTTTGACCCAGCTCTCACCCTGGATTCTCATGTCCATTCTCTTGTTCACTCTTCCTTCTTCCATCTCAGGAAGGAGAGGTCCAAGACCCTTTCTCTGTGCAGAATTAAACAGAGGAGTCTGGCAGGCCAGGCTAGTTGGGTCAACCACTGGACTACCAATCCCAATGCAACAGCAAACTTGCTTAAAGCCCGGATCACACTGTGCAATTTTTGGCCATCTTTGCCAAATCCCACGTCCTGAGTAGAATTGTGACCAAAAACAGTCAACGTCAGGGTGATTTGCATATATGTGCATCATGCTGTGAATGTACGGTGTGAATGGCTCTGCGACAGCTTTTTGAGCCATCTCGCGACCCAAATCAGCCTCAGACAGTCTACAAGCATGCTTGAAAACCTAAGATTCTTATCTGTAACAATGAAAACACAACCAGGCGGTCACATAAGAAATTAGTGATGGAGTCACATGACAGAAGGACTGCAACATTGCTTTTTAGCAGTAATGGAGGCTACACACCTGGGTGGGTAAAATAAGAAGAGGAATTTATCCAACTTTGGCAGCACAGACCCTGTCCATATGACACGAATGATAAGGACTATCACAATCGATCCACAAAGGAAAACGCCTGGAGAGAAATCCCAGAGTAGATGCAAATTCCAAGTAAGTAAATACGTGTTTACTTTCATGCCCATGGCCCTTTTCCACAAATGTTAGCCTCCAACTCGCAGCAATCCATGCTAACATAAGTAATGTCTTATTGATGCTTAGACATATGTTTTTTACGCAAGTCATTCTTTAATTTGCAGGGAAAGACATAATGATCTGTGCAAGTTCCCTGAGAACAATACGGAAAACCCCAAACCAAGTAGCAGTGGCAACAAAGAACTCCCACTGCGCCGGAAGAGTACCTCAACATCCAAAAATGCACACGACAGTTATGAAAAACAAACAGTGACTTTGCTTAAACAAGTAGTCGATCAACCCTTTACCCGAGAAGACTCTGAAGTTTGGCAAGTTTGTGGCTAATCAGCTCCATCTAATTGAAAGCCAGTTCTTACGCAATTAAACCGTGCAGATAATTACAGATCATTTGTTTGATGCCACTGAATCTGAAGAGACTTAATAGAGCTAAGATCTGGACATTATTACATGTAACTGTAACATATTTTGCAGTTGTAATTTTTATTGTGTAGCATGAAATTCACATTTTGTAACACCTAATTCTCATTTTGTAACATGAAATTTTCACTTAGAAACATGTAACATTTGTTTTGTAGCATTTAACTTTTGATATGTAACGTGAAACCTTTCTTATGTAACTTGCAGAAAAAAGCACAGATCTCCATCTACAATCTATAGAAACAAAAGTTATGTGTGCAAAACATTTTGTCCCAATTCTAGCTTTCTTTATCCAAAGAACCAATGCCAGGTTTTGTCTTATCAGCCAATCATATGTCTTGGATACAATATCCTGGTCTAGGTCAAAATGTAAGTTCTTAAGCAATGCTTAGTTTAATTTATCGGTCATTGGTTCTTTAGGAAAGGAAGCTAGAATTGGGCAAAATGTTTTGTAACACATAGATGTAAGTTTTGTAATTGTAGACTGAGTTGTGTGTTTTAGTTGTAATTTGAAACCTATACATACATTTTTCTGTAAGTTACAAAATGAAAGTTTCATGCTACATTACAAAAGTTACATGTTACAGAAGTTATATGTTGCAAAATGAAAGTTTCATGCCACGTTACAAAAGTGACATGTTACAAAACGAAAGTTTCATGCTACGTTACAAAAGGTACATGTTACAAAAGTGACATGTTACGAAATGAAAGTTTCATGCTACATTACAAAAGTTACATGTCAAAAAAGTTACATTACAAAAGTTGCATTTACAAAATAAAAGTTTCATGCTATGTTACAAAAGTTACATGTTACAGAATGAAAGTTTCATGCTGTTACGAAAATTACATGTTACAAAATGAAAGTTTCATGCCACGTTACAAAAGTTACATGTTACATAACGAAAGTTTCATGCTATGTTACAAAAATTACATGTTACAAAAGTTACATGTTACAAAAGTTACATGTTACAAAATGAGTTTCATGCTACGTTACAAAAGGTACATGTTACAAAATGAAAGTTTCATGCTACGTTACAAAAGTTACATGTTACAAAAGTGACATGTTACAAAATGACTGTTTCATGCTACATTACAAAAGTTACGTTACAAAACTAAAGTTCCATGCTACGTTATAAAAGTTACATGTTACAAAATGAAAGTTTCACGCTACGTTACAAAAGTTACATGTTACAAAATGAAAGTTTCATGCAATGTTACAAAAGTTACATGTTACAAAATGAAAGTTTCATGCTATGTTACAAAAGTTACATGTTACAAAAGTTACATGTTACAAAATGAAAGTTCATGCTATGTTACAAAAGTTACATGTTACAAAATGAAAGTTTAATGCTACATTACAAAAGTTAAATGTTACAAAATGAAAGTTTCATGCTACGTTACAATAGTTACATGTTACAAAATGAAAATTTCATGCTACGTTACAAAAGTTACATGTTTTAAAATGAGAATTATGTGTTAGAAAATGAAAGTCAAGTGTTACAAAACGTGAATTACAAGCTACAAAATATGAATTACATGCTAAAAAATGAAAGTTATAGTTACAAAACATGTTACAAGTTACAAGTATTATTATCCCAATCCTAGTTCTATAAGACTTCAGCCAACCAAAATACATATCCCACCAATCCATCACATCCATTTACAGGACATCAATATGTTTATGTTTATTTATTTGGCAGACGCTTTTTCTCCAAAGCGACTTACAATTTATAACCTATAGGGCACGTTGTGATCTGTGGGGGGAAACCGGACTACCCGGAGGAAACCCATGCATGCATGGGGGGAACACGCAACTCCACGCAGAAAGGCCGCAGCTGAGTTTCAAACCTGCAACCTTCGTGCTGCAAGGAACAGTGCTAACAACTGTGCCACCATACAGCCCATATCCTGTGTGGCACACCCCAAGCCATAATAGTCCAGCACAGCATGATGGAAAGCTTCAAGTTGGCACTCCTTACAAAAACAAAGTGACTGTGCATGAATGGCCCTTTGAGTGTATTTTTCTTTATTGTATTTTACTTTCATATATTTTCTTGCTTCTGTTTCCAATGTAGAATAAAGTTTGCGACTAAAAACACTCTGACCTTTATTATTCAGGTAACATGTTTGCTAGGGTAGGTAGACAAAATGTCACTTGCAGCATAAACTAATTAAAATATAAAACAGTGTAGTGACTGTAGCATGCATAAATGACTATTGTTTGTTCATGAAGGGTGCCCAAGGATTATTTGCCAAAAAGGTTTTATTCATTTTCAGCCAGACGTTTACAGATATTCTTTTTAGGATGCCGATTAGCAGCTGCTACAAATGACACAGAGCTCCTACGACTATGCCATGTTTTCTTGCCAAGTCACAGAGCCTTTTGGTTAGACAAAATAGGACTTTAATGTCTCCCATTGCTGCTTAGCTGTGCCACTAAATGGAAGAGGTTGGTTGTTTCACGAGCTTCCAGGGATGGTATTGTGCCGCTCATCCTCTCTGTGGACAGGGTTGTGTATCTGCCTTTAGCATGTACAGTGAGAAAGTTGTGTAAAGACAGAGCTGCCAGTGTTATCTGTGACACAAACTCTGGCTCAAGAGCAATCGTGGTAAGGAAAACTCGCCACCTGTTGGATAATGTTGCAAAACTAATTTCAACTACATGCCGAGCTCCAGACAACCTGTAGCTGAAAACCGTCTGGTCGTAGTCAAGGTTCCTGAATGGATAAGGCTTCATAAGGTTTTCCTGAAGTGGGAAGGCCCCATCTTCCACAAACACATATGGTATGGGTGTGTTGGTACCTAGCAAATATTTTGTCGGGCTAGATTTAGAAGTTTACCATCTAGGCCCTTCTAAAATCAGAGTGTGCGAAGACGCCTCCATCAGACTGCCCTGGGTGCCACTTTGTGCGTAAAGAAACTGAGAGTTCATATTGACAACAGCCAGCAAAACAAGAGAGAAGCGGGAGTTTCTGAAAGCACATCCACTGCTGGCTGGTGGTCGGATAGTTATCTGCTTCCCATCTAGAGCTCCAACACAACGGGGAAACGTCCATCTCTCTTTAAAATCGGATGCCAAATTTCTCTATTCGTCTTCTGTGGTAGGTGTCTAGAAAAACACAACAGACCCTCTCATAATAGTCTGAAAAACAACATTGTTACTGTAAACAACAGAAAAAAGTAGTGGCCATGCATGTACCTGTAGGTAGTCGTCTTGTAAAACAATGTCTCGCACATGTTGCTCACAGTTCCACTGATAGTGCTCCTCCCCACGCGGTACTGAAAGCTCGGTGAAGCAAATGTCTCCCCTAAAAGCAGATCATCCAAAGTAATCAGCTTCCTCTCAATAACGAGATGTGCAGATTATTATTAAACAACTCCACTTACCAGTCACGGACAGCCTCTCTGTGGTGCTAACGCTCGGGCTCAGATGGGTGTTTTGGTTGCATATATGTGGTGACCAGCTCGAGCAGATGGTCGAGCTGGTCACCATCCAAACGCAACAAATCTCTGAATCGGCCATGATCACCAGTCTACAGAAAAGAAGGTCATTCATAACCATCAGTTTAACATGAATCTTTTGTTTGGATGTCACCACAAGTTTTAGTGCAAACATATTAGCAATGCTAATAGTAAAAAAGAAGGCTCACCTCGAGCTCGTTTTGCAGAACAAGGCAGCCCAAACCTCCTTGTTTTCCTACCCAGGCACATTCCCACAGCCTCTTCTTCCTCCTTTTACGCTCATTTTTGGCACTTATTGTAGTTCCAACTGGTGCTAATGCAAAAAATTTCTTCGCCCTCGGAGTCGCCTTCTTGGGTGTTTTTTTTACTAATAGTGACGTATGTTTTCAGGTGACGTAAACGCGTCCTTCTGCGGATACGTAGTCGTGCAGTTTGACATTAGGTAATTGTGCTCCGCACAATGTGACACCTCTCTTTGAATCCGTGCAGTGTGACATGAACAATCCTGTACGACGGTCAAAAATTGCACATTGTGATCCGGGCTTAAGATGCTGTTGTAAGTGTGTTTTGTTGAAGCGGGAGTGGGCAGAGCTTCACTGAAACACAAGCTGATGAAAACAACATGCATTTAAGAGAAGATGACATCTCAGTAGTGCCAACAGTAATATGTTATGTACTTCTCTCAATGGTTTAAAGTAGCACCATCTGGCCTCTAAATGGAGCACCACTCCTCTCTGAGGCCTGATGGCATGAAGCTTGGCATGATCAGCAGGAGCTCAGGAGGTAGAGCGGGTTGTCCAGCAACACGTCTCCACGATGTAACAATGGTCACGTTAACATGTAAAGATGAGTACACACACGCACACACACACACACACACACACACACACACACACACACACACAAACATGCCCACTAACACATACACACACTCACAAGCATGCACACTAGCACACACACACACACACACACACACACACACACACACACACACACACACACACACACTCACAAGCATGCACACTAGCACACACACACACACACACACACACACACACACACACACACACACACACACACACACACACACACACACACACACTTAACACAGTTTAAACACCAGCACTGGGTGATGATGTCAGCTGAGAGTTTCCTGTTTTATTATGTCCTTCTTCTCTTTTGAAGTGAGGAATTGAAAAGCAAGAGCGGTAGACAGCCTGAGCTTTGTGTTTATGCGCAAAGCCCCTCCCCCGGTCATTTTAATTAAGTCAGTCTCACTGGCGTGGTGGCCAACGATAATTGGAGAAGGTTTTTGGATGCCACTTTCCTGTAACGATGATTGTTTCTTTCCATCCTCTCACTTTTCTCCACACCCACAGCTTCTCCAGCCTCCCCCTCCTGGCTGGCACGTACCTATGTTCCCTTTCCGTCCTTTTGCTGTTTCCATCCTTATTCAGATGTGAAATACAGATTGACTTCGCCTTTGTTTTACAGTCCATGAACGTTATGAACAGTACCAGTGACAAAGGGCAGCCCTGGTGGAGTCCAACCCTCACTGGGAACAGGTCCGACTTACTGCCAGCTATGTGGACCAAACTCAAGCTCCTCTGGTACAGGGACTGAATGGCCCTTAGCAAAAGACCATCCACCCCATGCTCCTGGTGTCCTCCACAGGTTGTCTCTGGGGACACGGTGTTAAGCCTTCTCTCTCCAAATCCACAAACACATGTGGATTGGTTGGGCAAACTTCCATGACCCCTCCATCACCCTAGCAAGTGTAAAGAGTTGGTCCACAGTTCCAGGGCCAGGACGAAAACCACATTGCTCCTCCTCTATCTGAGGTCCAACTATCGACCGGACCCTTCTCTCTAGTACCTTGGAGCAGACCTTTCCCGGGAGGCTGAGGAGTGTGAGACCCCATAATTGGAATACACCCTCTGGTCCCCCTTTTTAAAAATTGGGACCACCACCCAGGTCTGCCACTCCACAGGAACTGCCCCCGATGACCACGCAATGTTGCAGAGACGTGTCAACCAAGTCAGTCCTACAACATCCAAAGACTTGAGATGCCCAGGTGGGATCTCATCCACGCCAGGGGCTCCGACACTGCGTATTTGTTGTTTTTATTTTTTTTTTGGAGCCAATAGATAGTCTTTCTCCAAGGTCTCGCCAAACTCCTCCCACGCCCGAGATTTTGCCTCGGCAACTGCCTGTGCTGCACCTCGCTTGGCCCTCCAGTACCTGTCTGCTGCCTCTGGAGGCCCATAGACCTGCCACGCCCTGTAGGCCTCCTTCTCCAGCTTGACAGCTCCCCTAACCTCTGGTGTCCACCAGACAGGATACCAGGTGTCTGTCATCTTAAAAAAACGTTCATGCAACACACACACACAACACACACACACACACACACACACACACACACACACACACACACACACACACACACACTCCAGTATGCCCTGCTCAAATGTAATGTGGTGTTTTTTCTCTTGCTGTCTTTGTGTGTGTGTTTTATGGTGGTTTGCTAACTATGTGTGCATCTGTGTTTATGGAAGCAGGTGTCTTGTGTGGCCACTGCTGTTGCACCTTTCAGCAGAGGCTTACAGCTGATCTTTCTTCTCATGTCCGTTCTCTTGTTCGCTATTCCTTCTTCCATCTCAGGAACATTGCAAAGCTGAGTCCCATTCTGTCCCGCTCTGAACTTGAGACTGTTCTCCATACCTTCATCTCCTCACGCTTAGACTACTGCAACTCTCTTTTCACGTGTCTGAGCAAAACCTCCCTGAACCATCTACAGGTGGTTCAGAATGCCTGTGCACATCACCCCGCTTCTCCTCCAGCTTCATTGGCTGCCAGTCAACTTCAGGGTTCATTTCAAGATCATGGTTCTGGTGTATAGGGCCTTACATGGACAAGCACCATCTTACATTGGTGATCTTCTTAGTCCCTACACCCCCAGCAGGTCCCTGAGGTCCAGTGATCAAATCCTACTGGTTGTGCACAGGCCCCCACAATGCAGCTCAAAAATTGAGGCCAACCCGGAAGTGACAATAATTGCAGTTCCACGGTACTCATCTGCTGGGGGCTGCTGTCAGAAGCGAGCAAATCCTCATTGACTCCCATGTTAAAAATTCCAGTTTCACAGCAGAAATAAACATGTTTACAGCCTGGTACCAAAACATGTTTTTGGTTTAAATTATCTAGTTAACACTCATGACAACTCTGAGGGGGTGAATTTTTTTTCTCACTCTTCTGTTTAAGTGTATTAAAAGCCTAAATTTCTGTATAATTAGTGAGCATCAGACCCACGTGACCACAGAGCTAGCTGCGGGGAAAGGCCTCAGTAGAGCCTCGGTCTGGCCTGGAAACTGCTCCCGCATTTTGAGTCTGTGTTTGTGTATTCTTTTTTGGATATTTTTTGTGCAATTGTTGGACAAAATGACTTGCTGTGGCATTAATTGCACTAATAGAGTGTCCAAGGAGTCTCCACTTCATTTTTTTCGGTAAGTAAAATTATATTTATGTATTTTAGGTCACTGCCGCTCTTGCACTAGCTGAGCTTAGATTTTAACATATACTGTTTAACCATGAAATTTAAATGTAATAGGGTAAAACCCAGTGCATTTAACATAATGTTGCACTTTAGAAAATGGGGAGAACTATGACATGGTGGTGTATCTGGGTTCCGATTATCAGCTTGTGGAACTCTAGGGGAGACCTTTGTTTTCCACCCAGTTCTCCACTCCCTGCAGCTCGGCGCATCTCTGTCTGATGGCGGCTTCTGTCTGCTGTGCGGGCTGCCGGCTTGTGGAGCTTTCGGAGACCTCCGTTTTCCACCCGATTATACCCAGCTGTCTGCCCAGCGTATCTCTGACTCAGAAGCTCTGGTGTTGTGCACAGTTAACTCTGGTTGTAGCTAGGTTGCTACCTCCATTAGCTTAGCTCCCACCTCCGCATTAGCTTTGGGTTAGCTTCAGGTTAGCTTGTAGCTAGTTCGACCAGGTGTCGTCAGTTGATCCCAACCTTACAGCCCCACCCTCAGCTCCACCCCTCTTCCCTTTTGTGGAATTGTCTGGGCTTGACGGAACCTGTGACACGGTCAAAATGGCGGTGGTGGCAACCTCCCATTTATCTTCAAAAATGTGTTACTGGAGACTATGGAAACCCATTGGCCAATATTTATATGTCGATGGTTGTGCAGCACCAGGCTAAGCCTGAGATCAGTGGACTCAGTGGTCTCCTTTAAAAAGCAGCTGAAAACTCACTTGTTCAGGCTAGCTTAGGTGTGACCTTCTTCACCACTCTCTCTTTATTCTGCTCTCCCCACCTATTCCACCTTCCTCAGAATCCACTGATTTAGCTCTTTCCTATTCACTTTCTCTCTTTCTTTTCATTTTTAATCGCAATTGTCTATTTTTTGCTCATTTTACATATATTTTTAATCATTTTCTAAATATTTTTATATTTTACATTTTTTGGTTAGCGCAATGCTAATATACATAGAAAACCCCATAGGAATGCTAATGCTAATATCGCTGATTACATTCTTACAAATTATGAATTAGATACGTGCCAAATGATTACATTTGGAGTCTAATAGAAAGTAAAACTACCATCAATCAGATAAGTACAGACAGGTATTTTAGTAAAGCCAGAAAACTTTTAACTCCAGAGTTTTGGCTAGCAGCTATGAGCGTAACTGAACTACGCATGGACAAGACGTCAAAAACTCTAAACACAAAATACTTCAATAAATGGGACACACTTCTTTCCTGCTAATACAATTTCACAGGTGATGCTAATACCTATGATCCTTCAAGGGAAGTGCTCAAAGAAGAGTTCAACATTATGAATACAATATAGTGTTTTATTTTATAAATACCATTATAAACACAAACTTACGTCATAAGAAACATTATTTTAATGACGAAACTGCTAAATTCTTTCCAACAGTATAAAGATGTGTAGTGTATTTTGTCGGAGTGGGTTTGCCGTACTTTGACGTCATCGGCAGTTGAAGGACCCCGAGCCGATCTTGCACCCGAGCAGATCCTGTACCGACACTGGCATGGCACAGTCACCATTTATGAGGCAGAGGGAGGTGCTGTAGGGGTGCTACTGCCTAGCTACGGTCAGCAACGACCGCTGTAAGTTCTGCTTCTGAATAAAATCAGCTGATAATATTATGCAGTGTCACAAATATGATGAAACAACCAGATGCGCCGTGTTCGGTTTAAGCTGAGCACTCCACTCCACCCCCATCCTCGGCTACCACACTTTTCTACCCAGGGGAAACCCCAGATGTGCTCTCACCAAACAAACACCTTTCAGGTGGTCACATCTACTGCTTTTCCTGCCAGTCATGGACATTGTCTCCTTAGACATAAATAGTTCAACAGTGGACCCATCTTTTCTGTTTTTTGTTATTGTCTATTTGTGCGTTGTCTTCTTTTATTCGTGGACGAAAATGCCAATCAATAATCCTCACAGTTTAGCCTCCAGAGAATTAAACTTTCTACGTAGTTTTTGTTTGCAAGAACTCACTCGTCACAAAAAAACAACAATATTCTGTGAAAAATTTCATGAAGCTAAGACTACTCATGGTGACACCCCCCCCCCCCCCCCCCCCCCCCCCCCCCCCCCCCCCGGTTAATCAGTGGAAACCTGAAGCACATGGAGAGAAGCAGACTTCAGCGGTCACCATCTCATGTCAGCTGGTGAGAATTTAACAGCGCGTGTGAATCTCCCTCCCTGCAGCAAGACGGGCCGTGTCCGGCTGTTGACAGGAGGCTAGAGTGGGCCACCCAGCCAGCCAGGCACTTCGGGAAGATCTGGTGTCCTTGTTGTAATGCTCTCCAGATGTCCTTTCAGCTGAAGAAGCAAAGAGGTGGAGCATGTTGAGGAGAACTGGAGCCTATCAGAGCTGTCTCTGTAGCTGTGGGGTGTTGGTTGGTTGGACGCACCCTTGTTTCTAAAGCTTTCAGAAGCTACAGGAGCAGACAGATGGGCTTCTTTAAGCAAATGTATTTTTGGTGTTGCACCAATACAAAACAATGACAACTATTGTCTCGGATGTTCTACAGAAATATTCCGTAGTTTCCATCACCTCTCACTCTTCCCCAGGAGCACTTCTTTGGTCACTGGGACCATAAAAGGAGGCACACAATGATAGGCTACTGGAGTTGAGTTCATCTGCTTACCTTTCCAGATTTCATTTGAGGTTTTTCAAATATTTTACATTTTTCATCAAGCGTGGAAGGTGATGAGAGACAAAAGAAAGAAAAATAAACATGTTTGGTGAGTTTTTTGGATTAAAATTAAATTAACTGAGTGAAGTTAATTGGCTAAATATTCTACAGTTCACCCCAGTAAAAGATGATTGGCTGTTGGGCTGCAGTCCAGGCCAGGGGCACTTTCCCAGCACTGCAGGAGTGATAGGAGTCCTCTATCGGAGGAAATTCACTGTTTGATAAAATACAGCTGGTGCAAAATCGTTCGGATAAAAAAAATTGTTCAGATTACATGTAGGCACCAACGACTAACAAAGCTGATCACAAGACTAAAGGTGCAGCAGGCTCTATCTGTCATGGTCCGTGTATGCATCTCACCTCATGTGTCTCCTTGTGTCCTCATTCGTCTCTAGGTGCTCCTTTGTGTCTTCTAGCGCCCTCATGTGTCATCTCTGTGTCTTCCTCATGTGTCTCCTGGTGTTCCCCATTTGCCCTCTAGGTTTCTCTCCTCAGACTTCCCTCTCCCAGGTCCTGTGCCCTCTTGGCCCCCTCTTAGCCACGCCCCTGTAGTTTCTTTCTGTAGTGTTTTCCTATAGTGTCAGCTTCCCCTTAGAATATTAGTTATGGTTCATGCCTTCTGGTCTTTTGTTTTTCTCTTAGGTCATTTTCCTTTGTTACAGCCTTTCATTATTTAGTGTGTTTTTTCCCACCAGTGTTTTCTTCCTCCTCCCTTAGTTAGTAATTGTGTTCACCTGGTCCCTCTCCCCACACACCTGTAATTCATCTCCCTCTCATCTTCCCAGTCTATATAAGCCCTGTCTTGTCTCTGTGTGGTTGTCGGTCCATTGTATTTTTGTCAGCGTTTGTTCGTGTTCTGTCTGAGCTTTTCGTCTCTAGGTCTTCGAGCTCTTAGTAAGCTTCTTGTCTCTAGGGTTTTTTTGTGCTCTAAGAGAGCTTTGGGTGTCCTGTGCTCCAGGACTTTTGGACTTTGGCTTGCTGTCATGGATTTATTTTTGTTCTTTTATACTGCAAATAAAAGGATTTTTTACTTTGAACCAACTTCTGCCTCTTGTCGTTTGGGTAATCTGCATATTTGGGTCCTAAACATCGCCGCAACGTGACATAATGACCGACCACCCAGGACCCAGCGGATTACCCAGACGTACCGCTATTATGGTGAGCCAGAGAACTGTTGGACTTTTATTCAGGACGTTGCCAGTTGTTTGAACTTGAACTCTTCAGAGTTCAATAAAGTCTCTTTCCTGGTGCTCTGCCTGGGAGGCAGTCATGCGGTGGGCCACCCGATATTTTGACTATCACCCCATCAAAGAGGTGTCGTTTTGGCCGTTCACCAAGGAGCTGCTGGCGAACTTCAGCCCCACAGCACCGCCAGCCATCAGCATCCCCGTTGCACCGATGTGCCAAACCTCCACACCTTCGCCTGGACCAGACAGCGCTGCTGCATTTTCTCCGGTGGGCTGTCATTTCTCCTCAGTTCTTGCCAGCGTCATCTCCACACCTCAGTTGAGCCCAAAAAAAAACACGCCGACGACGACGCAACCGTCGTGCTTCAGCGGTGGTCCCTGAGGACGCATCGCATCCTGCTTCAGCGGTGGTCCCAGAGGACGCACAGCATCCTGCTTCGGCAGTGGTCCAAGAGGATGCATCGCATCCTGCCTCGGCCGTGGTCCAAGAAAACACATTGCAACCAGCTTCAGCGGAGGTTCCAGAGGACGCACAGCATCCTGCTTCAGCGGTGGTCCCAGGGGACGCACAGCATCCTGCTTCAGCTGTGGTCCCAGAGGACGCACAGCATCCTCCTTCAGCAGTGGTCGCAGAGGAAGCACAGCATCCTGCCTCTTCGGTAGTCCAAGAGGACGCATCGCATCCTGCCTCGGCGGTGGTCCAAGAAGACGCATCGCATCCTGCTTCTGTGGTGGTCCAAGAGGATGCATCGCATCCTGCTTCGGCGGTGGAGGACGCACAGGCTCCGGTCCAGCCCGTCCAAGAGGCTCCGGTCCAGCCCGTCCAAGAGGCTCCGGTCCAGCCCGTCCAAGAGGCTCTGGTCCAGCCCGTCCAAGAGGCTCTGGTCCAGCCCGTCCAAGAGGCTCCGCTCCAGCCCGTCCAAGAGGCTTCGCTCTAGCCCATCCAAGAGGCTCCGCTCCAGCCAGTTCAAGAGACTCCGCCCGAGCCGACGCCCCCAGGCCAGAAGTCAACGCCCCCAGGCCAGAAGTCGACGCCCCCAGGCCAAGGGTCGACGCCGCCAGTCCAAGGGTCGACGCCGCCTGTCCAAGAGTCGACGCCGCCTGTCCAAGGGTCGACGCCGCCTCTCCAAGGGTCGACGCCGCGTCTCCAAGGGTCGACGGTCCCGCCTCCTGTCTCGAAGTCGACGCCTCCTGTCTCGAAGTCGACGCCTCCTGTCTCGAAGTCGACGGCCTCCTGTCTCGAAGTCGATGGCCCCCTGTCTCGAAGTCTACGCCTCCTGTCTCGAAGTCGACGGCCTCCTGTCTCGAAGTCGACGGCCTCCTGTCTCGAAGTCGACGGCCCCCTGTCTCGAAGTCGACGGCCCCATCTCAAGTCTCAACGTCCTTGTCTCAAGTCTCCCCACAAGTGTTCCAGTCTCCCGAGTCCCAGGCTCAAGTCTCCCCACAAGTGTTCCAGTCTCCCGAGTCCCAGGCTCAAGTCTCCCCACAAGTGTTCCAGTCTCCACAAGTGTTCCAGTCTCCTCAAGTGTTCCAGTCACTGTCCCAGTCTCAAGTGTTCCAGTTTCCTGAGTCCCTTCCTCCTCCTCCTCCTCCAAAGCCCCCTATCCCTAGAGTTTCCTGTACCCGCCTCCTGGTTCCCCGTCGCCAGCCCCCCAGAGTTTCCTGTTCCCGCCTCCTGGTTCCCCGTCGCCGGCTCCCCAGAGTTTCCTGTTCCCGCCTCCTGGTTTCCCGTCGCCGGCCCCCCAGAGTTTCCTGTTCCCGCCTCATTCTGGTATTTTGTTTTTCTCTTAGGTCATTTTCCTTTGTTACAGCCTTTCATTATTTAGTGTGTTTTTTCCCACCAGTGTTTTCTTCCTCCTCCCTGAGTTAGTAATTGTGTTCACCTGGTCCCTGTCCCCACACACCTGCAATTCATCTCCCTTTCATCTTCCCAGTCTATATAAGCCCAGTCTTGTCTCTGTGTGGTTGTCGGTCCATTGTATTTCTGTCAGCGTTTGTTCGTGCTCTGTCTGAGCTTTTCGTCTCTAGGTCTTCGTGCTCTTAGTGAGCTTCTTGTCTCTAGTTTTTTTTTTGTGCTGTAAGAGAGCTTTGGGTGTCCTGTGCTCCAGGACTTTTGGACTTTGGCTTGCTGTCATGGATTTATTTTTGTTCTTTTATCCTGCAAATAAAAGGATTTTTTACTTTGAACCAACTTCTGCCTCTTGTCGTCTGGGTAATCTGCATATTTGGGTCCTAAACATCCCCGCAACGTGACACTAACATGAGGCAGTGCCAGTTGGGGAGGAGCTGCAGGAAACCCAACACCTTCAGAAGATGCCACAAAGCATGTGAAGGACTGGCCCAAGCCGAAGGGAGGTGATGTGCTCTGGCTGTAAGTTGTAAATGGTTTTGTTGTCTCGTCGTAAATGTAGTTAGAACGATGTGATTGTTCTTGCTTTCATATATTTTTACTGATTTTTCACATCCAGTTGGTGTGTTCTTCATATTTAATGATTCTAGTTTTTACAAATATTTAGAGATATTAAAATATTTTCTTTCTGACATAAAGGAAGTTGAAACTGTTTTTATTTATTATAATAATGTCATTTGTGTCATTTCTGGAAAGGATAAAAATGCTCTTGCATGTGGTACAAAAGTCAGATGACTGATCTTCAAAAGCTTAATGCGTTAATAAACAAATAAATAAAGACTATTTTGGTATTATTTTAGCTTTAAAACATAGTTTATTTCATTAAAGAATGTGCTATTTTACTAGTAAACATACAAGTTTAATGAATAAAGGTTTAAACGCGGCACTTTTGGCCATTAGGTTTGCATCTGGGCTTCAGGGAGTTTGTTTTCAGAAAAGGTGGAACTAACGTACAAGACAGACCCGTCCCACGCAACGCCAGGTATTTCAGCCTTTCTGGATTATAACTGCGAAGATTATGGACTACAGTTTATGAAAACCCCACATTCAGACAATCAGAATATTGTGAAAAGGTTGAATATTCTAGTAATCAGCTGACGAACCCAGAACACCTGCAGAAGTTCCTAAGCTTTAGATGGTCTCAGTCTGAGCTGGACCTCTGACACTGTCAGGCCTGTAACTCTCTCATTGGCTTTTTCCCGTACTCACTTATCCCTGCAGGTCGACCTCTGGAGAGCACTGTGCTGACGTGT